TTACATTGTTGTGGTTGAGAATTATTTTGTAATCATGCAGGTGAAAATACAAGGTTAATGAACTCTGGGGAAGCATTGAAGCAGAAGGAGGAATCATCTTGTGGGGAAAGGAACAGTCATGAGGTTCATTACCATTTTCAACTAGGCACATATTTTACCCATCATGAGCTGATATCTCGTGAATATGGTAAATCTGATGGAGATGGGCAGTCAAAGGATTGCTGTGACACCTCTGATGAGTGTCAGGATTCAGTTCCTGATGCTTCCAGAAGCAGCATCAATAAGATATTACAGGAGGAAAATGTTCATGGTGGCGAAACTTTCGTTGTGCCTTCCCATTTGCATGAAAAAGCTTTAGCTTCGACTCTAATATCTACCACAGCTATTGAAACAGAGTGCAAGTTTGGTGAAAGCATTTTTGACACTAACAGAGTGGAATTGCCTAAAGCCAAATTCAACTTTGAATTCCTAGGTAATCGCAGGAGAAATTCTTACCCAATTGTGATGTTTAGCTCTAGTTGATGCTGAATAACTTAATAATGCAACAGCTTCTGATTAGACTTAAGATAAGACTCATACTTTGGTTATGACAGCAAAAGTTCTCCTTTACCAGATAACAAAGCAATATCAGACCTTCTCATATCTTTTTCAAAATAGTTGATAATATTTATTTCTTGAATCTGTAACTGAGCTATTGTTGCAAGGAAATTGACAAATCATTTTAGAAAATATACTAAAAATGTAGTTCTATCTGGTTATCACTTTACTTAGCAATCTCTAAAATTTTCTGCAATAACACAGGGGCATTTACTGAAAAAGTGGGCTCGGAGAAACAGTCAGAAGTACGGACTCAATCACCAAATCAGCAAAGGAAAGGTGTGGATGGAGATTTTGCAGTTGAAGCATACACAGCGCTAGCAGATGGGCAGAATAGTGCAGAAGTAGCTAAACTTGAAGGGGGTGGACTATTAAAGGATCAAGATGTTGCCCCCAGTGATTCTCTGCAGCATGCTGAATTTGATTCCTCTGCAAGAAGTAAGTTTAGCTTCATAAAGGATCAAGCTGTCTCTTGTGCTGAAGCTATTGATGGGACAGCCTATTCGCATTTTGTTGCTGAACCATACACAGCATTAGAAGATGGGCAGAATAGTGAAGAAGTAGCTAAATTTGAAGAGATTGGACATTCTAGGAATCCAGATACTTCCTTTGATTGTCTGCTGCATGCTCAGTTCAATTCCTCCACAAGAAGTACGTTTAGCTTCATCCAGGATCAAGGTGTCCCCATCACTGAAGATACTGTGGAGAAAGTTCATTTATCTCCACCTTCTGTAGCCACCAACAACACTGAAGAAAGAAATAAAAGAATTGAGCTCAGTGCAAGGAAATGCAATTCATTGAACAAAACTCTTTCAAATTCAAGTTTCTTCTCAGAATGTCAGCGTATGTATTGAACTCATTTACTTGCTTTCAATAGTGCCTTATGCATGGAGGATGCGTCTCATTGTTTTGTCTTTTGGCTCTGCTGCACCTGACTGGTAATATTTGTTTATTGCTTAACCTGAAATCAATCTGCAAAGTGTACAAGAAAAATTGGCTAAGTTGTACTAAAGAAGATTCTCATTCTAGAAGCTGTAACATTAGATTAAAGAACAGTGATACAAGTCAATGTTCATGTGATTCAGGAGACATAGCTTGTGGCAAAGGGGAAACAAATGAGGAAAGTGATCCCATTGAAGCATATCACATGATACAAATGGCTTCGACTAGTAAGGACTATAATTCAGAAGGATGTGATAAAAGCATGGATGGAAGTTTGGATGGGGTCATTGATGCATTAAATGTTGAATTAGGATCAAAGACAGATGTTGAACTAGGATTAGTGACAGAAAGCATGGGAGCCAATGGAAATTATATATTTTGTTTTGAGGCTGATACAGGAGGAGAGATGCTAGAAAGCTGCACTGGAGAAGAGAGTGGGCCATTTAACCTGGAGGCTACAAATGAACCTGAAAGTGTTCACTCCCTTGATACTGCCCCAGAAGGTTAGAATTTTTAGAATAGCTGTTGTTCTTCTGATTCCTGTGTTTCAAGAGGTCCTTTTGATGGTTGTTTTTAATTCACACTATTAATTCTTGCAGTAGCCACTACTGTTACACTTGATAGTTGCCCCTCACACAGTGCCCAGACTCCTTCAAAAAGCTGCAACAAAAATGAACATGGTCAGTCCTTCAGTCCTTTCTGCTAGGACTTGATGACCATTAGAATTTGTTTAATGATCTGCTATTCTTAATGCGACAGGTCAAAAACTTGAATTGACTGATGAGCCTGTCAGTCTCTCAACCACTGAGGAAGAGAAAAATAATCTGAGTTCTGAAGAGGAAGTGAAACATGATTTTTTGTCTTTGAAAAAGATTAGTAGCTCAGGAAGGGATGGATGCTCTGGTCAACATGACGTGGTGCATGGTAGGGAAGAACAAGGTTAGCATTTCTCTTTTTTCATTCATTTAGCAAGCTTCATCTTAGTGACTTTCTTATGCCCTAAAGTTCTTTACCTATTTGTGAAGAAAAAGATATTTCCAGTTATGAAGAGCTTGTGGATTCTGAAACAGCTGTAGAATATGAAACTCAGAGAACAAATCAGCAGAATATCTTCCCTACTGCTGCTGAAGGGAACCCCGATGGATGCAATTTCAGCAATAGCTGGCATGGTTAGCTATACAGTAAGTTTTATGGGGTTTATTTCTTTTATTGTTCACTTGTTAATGTATTTTTATGTCTTGCGCAGGAGATGAACTTAAAATGCTGTTTGGTAACTCAGAAACCAGTCACAAGGTTTTATGTCTTCAGGAGAGGGATGATGGAGCTTATGCTAAATCCGTGTCTGAGTTTGCTTCAGCTGAATTCAAGGATAATTTGGTGCTTTCTAATAGCACTCCAGCGCAACATGATGATCAGAAGATTGGTGATTCTGAAATTCAGAAGGAAAATGAAGTAGGGAAGGGTAATACAAGCGAAACCTCTGCTAAGTTTTTGGAAGGTAACATTCTAAATATTCGTTCTTTTCCTAATGACTACAGAGTGGAAATGTTATTGAGAAATGTATTCTGAAGTTGCCTGCTTATATTATAATCATTATGAAGGATTTTAGATCTTGGAAACCCTTCAGCAATCTTTCAGATCCTTTTTATATTATGTGAACCTTAATATTTAAACTTTTGTTTTGAAGAATGGGAACTAGTAGTTAGCTTATAGTTGCTCGAGTGTATCTGTATATGGACAAGAAATTTATGGTATTTTATCTGAAAAATTATCCTCGTACCATCCTTTGTTGAGTTAAAATGACTCGTCATTGAAAAGATTTTACTGATTAATCTTGATTTAATTTCCAGATAATCAAAATGATAAGCATGCTGAGTCTGGCACTGAAGTTCCTACTTCCAGCAGTTTAGAAATGAATATACATCCACAAGAGAGCAAAGGGGATCAGAGCTTTTCATTTGACCAAAGCAAGGATGTTAAAGTTGAAATAGAAACTTCTGAAGCTACTTTTGTTGGTGAAGAAGTTACCACGCTAGGCCATGATGCTGAAGATAAAGTTGGAGAGTTAGTTATTCAGGATTCTTTTGCTTCTGAATCTTTCATCTCCAAGAGTCATGAGTTGTCTAAGGAGTGTGATGATGATACCATGATAGACTATATCAATTCAGAGTCTACAGAAAATGTTCCTTCAATGATCAATAGCCCTGAGAAAAACTTGATTATTGATGCCTTAGCAGCTGTTGCAGAACTCGCAAATTTGGTTGAGCCAGAGGCAAAAAATGTGGAAAAGACTGGTATAGCTGATATAAAAAATGTAATTGTGCCTGCTGAAGAACAAAAACATGGTGAAGCAAGGGAAGAATCAAACCATCAATATCTTGAAGATGCTGGAGGAGGTAAGCAGCATAGTAATCAGTTTAACATCATTTTGAAGGAGCTAATTTGAATGATGGCTTTTTTTGTTTGTATCTGTAGTTCTTGAAGATACTATAGCAATGCATTCAGAGACACACTCCAGTTCAAATAAAAACTCAGATTCAGCAGCAGATGAGAGCATCGAATCACCTTCCAAGCCATCCATGTCTACTTTCAAAGGGAAGAATAGGAGAACCATTCTAATACATGGAACACCAAACAAGCTGCAAACAGCAGTGGATATGAAGGAGAATGCGCCAAATTCCAAATTAGAAAAAGTTGGTACTTGGACAACAGTGAGACCAGCAGCAAAGAGGCCAGCCCTTAAGGATCTTCTGCATAAATAGAAGGGGTCTCTGTTCTTCTGTGCTGATACAGCAAGTGATCCCAGTGAATGGATGCATATCTCATGCAAGTAGTTCCTGCATATGCATGTGAGTGATGTAATATTGTACTTTTTTTTCTTGTTTTCCTGAGTTAAAAATGGTCTTGTTTTGTAAATCAGACGTTGTCAATGGTGGGAAAAGAACTGAACAAGTTTTTTTTGTTGTTTACTGAGAAAAATTGTGATCACTGACCGATAATATCAGAATGATAATTTTTCTTGCCCTGTGCTTGGTGCTTGAAGCTTAGATAATATTGTTGTTTCACAGCTAATGGTGAAAACTCGGGCTAGTGTTGCTTTTAGTGTCTGAACATTGCACAAATCGGTTGTCACCTCTGGTTCTAAAGCATTTACCAACTTTAGAAAATTTTCTTAATTCGCTATTAGCTTCTTCTATGATCATCCAGGCATTAAAAACGAATGTATAATAAACTACCAAACCACCCATGAAAACCAAATCATCCAAGTCCCAGCAACTGATGTGAAATAAAAGATTCAAAAGCTATGAAGTTTGAAAGCAACAGAAGATTAATAAATTGCACCATGCTGAAGAGTGTAGCAGGAGAGTATCTTTCTAGCTATTCATTGACAATGTTGCAATCAGATAATGAAAGAACCAAACAAAGGCTAAAAGAATTGAACATCCACGTAACACAGCAACTGAGAAATGAGGAGAGAGAGATTATATTGAAACTAGAGTTTTGAGAACACTGCTTGTATGGAGTCCCTTATTAAGAAGGGAATATAAAATTATGAAACATTATGTTCTTTTTGGGACTGCACAGATATTTTTCCACTTATGTTTCTTCCAAACAACAAAATCTAAAAAATTTATCAAAAGAATCAAAGAAAAACTTTGCAAACAAATATCAACCTGACTGGCCTCGGCTCTTTTTATCTACACAACCCATGACAGAGTTCCTTCCAATCAATTTATACCACTTTCTTGAATAAACAACAAACTGTGCCCTCTGGGATTTCATTTTCACCCCAAGACGCAGCCCTTTCTTCTGTATCATCTCAACCATCTAAATGTTTTCTATCCTTCCTGTATCTTCTCACTCACAGTCCAACCCACAAATTTCTAATACAATGCCATTCTTGTTCACAAAAGGGTTGATACGGACCCATAGCAGGGAGAATATTGAAGCCAACAGGATTGACCACACCACAATAATAGTGGGAAGTCTATCCTGCCTCCCCATCAAACCCTTCAGGAATGGGTATAAATGGACAATCACCCAAAAGGCAAAGAACAGCTTCCCAAACAGTGGACCCCAAGAATCATATCCAGTATTGATGGCATCTGCCACCCCAACAATGACGCCGATGATGTTAATTATTAACAAGGTCATTGGAGGGATCAATAATGAAGTCCACTTAAACAGATAAAGCTCAGAAAACGCCCCATCATCAGCTGCTTTTGATGTAACGGTAAAGTTGGTATTGACACCAGCTAAAACCTTGAGTAAACCTTGGAAGAGAGCAAAAAGATGCGCTGACACACCGCCAATAACCCAGAACTGCTCGTTTCTCCACCAATCATCTATGCCAACACCACCCCATTGCATTTCCAGGATACCGGTAACAGCAATTAATATGAAGAGGCCCATGAAAATGATACTGGCATAGTTGCTTATCTGCAAGGAGTAAATGAAATATTGTTGGGAGATAACTAGCAAACTTAGACTGAATAAAGACATGTCCAATTTTTTTTTTCCCCTCGCTTCCCAGACAAGCATCAAGGCCTTACCTCGGGGACAATGAACTTCCCAGTTAAGAGACACACGGCTGGCAAGGTACAATAAGCAATCAACGGCAGCGATGTCAATGGATAGACGACTGAGTTTATGTATGAAAATCGCTCCAGTGGCTTCAAGCCACATCCATAGCCGTACCAAACTGGACAATGTCTGCTCAAGAAAATCTCAACAGAACCCAAGGCCCAACGGAGAACCTGGTGTAGACGATCTGACAGATTAATAGGGGCAGAACCCTTAAATGCAGGCCTTTTAGGAATGCAATATACTGATCGCCAGCCATGGCAATGCATTTTAAAACCGGTCAATATATCCTCAGTAACAGATCCATATATCCAACCAACCTGTTACATAAGCAAAGTAAGATAACTTAGATGCTTTGCTTAAGAGAAAGAACTAGATTTTTTAAGAGATTTTGATCTTTTAAGCAGTCCAAGTACCTCTTTCCCCCATTCTGTTTTGTCTTCATAACCACAACTGATCACATGGATGGCCTCTTTCAAAAGTGATGAGGGTGTTGCACCTGGAGGCACACCACCATCTTCAAGAAGTGTAGAAGCAATAAATACAGGCGATTGTCCAAATTTTTTCTCAAATTTTATCTGAGGCATGAGGGAGGACTTTTCACTATCAATTCCTGCACCAAAGATTCATCAGGCAAGTTGAGGTTGGAGTGCAGAATAAACAAGTAAAAAAGGCACAGCTGATATTATCCAATAGTAATTTGATTTTCAAAATGCTAAAAATAGTATTGATTCCGATAGTCATCTGGTTCCAGATTCTTACCTTCAATTCCTTCTTCAATGTTTTCAAGTGCATGTATCTGAGTTGAAGTTTCCCTGCCTTTTGTCTTCTTTTTATCCTTCGATTTCCCTTTCCTGTTCTTGTTCCTCGAGCAACAACAACAGCAACACAACTTTGGGAGACAATTGCATGTTTTGCCTGGGGGTTTCTTCTTTTTAGGAGCATCATATCCATAAAGAGCTTGCCTCCTGAAGACACATCCAGTTCCAACATAAATCGGACCTTGGATCCCATCCAGGCCTTTCATATTTATCTGTGTCAGTTTAAGAGAAAGATCTTAGCTTCTCAAAGATTGTTTGCAGAGTTTTACAAAAAACACGTATATATAACATTCATTTGGATCCATAAATGGTATTACATGAAAATCATATAGTGGTGATTACATACGTCGAAAAAGACAACATTGCGATTTGAATATCTATCATGACGATCAATCCCATCAAATCTCTGAGGAAACTGCACATAGCATATTTTCTTTCCTGATGTGGGGTCCATCATGAAGCACATAGCTTCTCGAAGAGCCTTACTGTTATTGATGTAGTGATCACAATCAACATTAAGCAGGTATGGGGCATTTGAGATGACTGCTGAAACTCGAATCTACAGTGACAATAAACAAATTAAAGACAATATATTATATTTAAATGGTAATATCAATGGTGACACATGTAACATGCCAAAGCATTCAGACTTACCAAAGCATTCATGGCTCCAGCCTTCTTATGGTGCTCAAATCCCGGCCTTTTCTCTCGAGAAACATATATAAGACGGGGCAATTCATTTCCTTCAATATCACGGACACCATTATGTCCCAGGAATACCTGTGGATATAATAGGTTTAAGTTATTCACCTTTGCAAGAATGATCAGTACTACTGTCAGATGTGGAGATGATGAGACAGGAAAAATATGTACCTGGATCATTCCAGGATGATCCCTGACACTATTTCCAGGCCAAGGAGTTCCATCCTGCATGGTCCAACCCTCCTCAGGTACCTTTTGAGCCATGGCAACCAACCCATTTATCCGAACTTTAAACTCCTCGTATTCTCTCTGCACCAGAAAAGCACACGCTCCAATTTAAAATTGAATAATCAGTGAGCTAGCATTTAATGAAAACTAAAACACTTCACCAGTCCATCTAAGTAATGTCAAGCACACGCTAAATTTTTTTTTTTTTTGGGAAGGGGGGGGCGGGGGGGGGGGGGTTTGTTTTCACCTTCATTGCACGGCGTTCCCTCACAAATGTAGGATCTACTTTGTCTCTGAGATAGTCAACCTTCTGAGCAAAATACCATTCTGGGGCTCGAGGCTCTAAGCTGAACCTCTTGCAAAATGGTACCCATTTTCTGGCAAATTCAGATGTCTCCGAAAGTGCCTCAAAAGTAAGCATTGCAGCACCATCATCAGATACATAACAGGCAACCTTATCCACTGGGTAATCCACAGCAAGGATGGAAAGAACTGTATTTGCTGTGATAAGGGGAGGCTCTTTCATTGGATCCACTGTACTCACAAATATATCGACTGGAGCTAACTCAGAAGGCTTCCCTTCTTTCTCATACCTAGGAGAAAAGGTCAATGCAGAGAAACTTTGAGAACCAAAAACGAAAGGAGATGCTAACCTACCCGTCTTTAGTAGATTGACAAAAAATTAAAAATAAAAATTGAAGCCATTATATATATATATATATATATATATATGAAAATGTATATAGCATAAGCAAATAAATGCACATGAAAGGAAACGTTAGAAAGAAAAATAAGTACCTCAGTGAAAGTCTGTCTAGGTATGTCTCTCGCTCAATAGGGAACCACTTGGGGAATTGATCAAATATCCATGACACTGCAAACCATATCTCACATATAATTGATGTCAGCCACAATCCATATGCATCATTGACAGGATGAAGAATTCTATAATGGAAAAATAAGCCAAGAATCGCCATGCGGATTAGAATAATCATCCTGTATGGATTTATCTTGCTTGAAGGAATTGGCAACTTTCTTGAAAGTGGCTGCCTGCCTTCATCCATCCTGTACACGCAATTGAAAGAAGAAGAATTAACTCAAAAAAGTTACAGGAGAATGTCAGAAGACAGTAGCACCTTCCGGACAAGCAATCTTCTCAATATAGTCAATTCCACAGATAGTTATACTTGTTCATCAATGTTCCAAAGCATATAATAATAGTTACATAGTATGCTTGTCCACAGATTTAGATTTCCAAACTTGTAATAAGCATTCATGCAATTGAAATTTAGTATCTTCCAAGTGTCATGGTCATTACATTCCACTCAGTCATTAAGCATGTCTAACTTTCTTCCAAGCATGCCTAACTTTCTTCTTGCAATAAGGATATAAATGGCAAACAAACTTTGACGGGAGGATGTCAGTGAAGCTGGCAGACCAGGGGAAAGAAAAATGACTTCTGGTTCATTTGTAAAACATAGAAATGAAATTTATTCTGCTACCAACCGTATGATTTTGCAAAAATTCATCGTAGATCCACTTCCCTCACTCCAACAGGAAAATTTATCTATGTGATGAATAAATTAAGAGGGACGAATTGTTTCTGTTCCTCCTTTTTTCTCTCCTCCACAAGTCAAAAGATGTAAAATTACTAGTTAATGCCTAATGCAAGTTCATAGTTGGATGGTATGTTATATTCTGTTTTCTACCCTGCATTCTAAATTTGGGCTCACTTATGAAGCATTTGACCCCATGGTATACAGGCAGCCGCTTTATTCCACTTAGTAAATCAATCACAGTATTTAAATTGATACAGCGTTTTAAATATTTACACCACTACATTCTGGAAATTGCAATTTCTGTTCCAATTATTGACATAACATATACTAAATTAGATAACATCAAGCAAAGAGTAAAACTTGTACAATCTATGCCAACTGTCACTCAAGAGGGGAATCTGTTAATTTCTCCAACCTCACCTTCCAGCTAAAATATGGCATACTCCAGGTAAGAATTTCACTCTCAACTCATTTGTCGTGAACTTCATAAACTCGGATAGCCACAACTTTACAAGCTGTTATGCTAGAAACAACCTTAGATTTGACTGTCGGGGATACCAAGGGGCCACTCGATTGACTTGACCATCAATCACTTTCTGACCGAGTGTCAGAGATACGACCTAAACGAGTCGAATGTCAAGCTCTTACTCGATATTTACACGTGCCTCACATTTTATGTCCAACTAGAAAAAAAAAAATTAACAGTGAAACCACTGTAATTTTCTTAGCTCTAGTAACAATTCTTAACTTCGTCATCCCTATACAAGACACTTAGCTAACTTTCCAACAGCAAATAATCCAGAGGCCAGAAGTAGCAACTCTATACCAAGTATAATAGTCTCTGTAAAAATTTTGAACTCGACATACTTGGGAAATGCAGAAATATGATCCACGCATTCACACTCCAGCAATTACCTAATGTAATTATACTTTCTACCTAATATCTCCCTACAACAAAACAATTACATTGGGGCCTGCTGACTTTCTAACAGAGCAAATTTCCAACACCAAACTTGCTGCTTGCAGGGGGGTAAATCAGTCAGAGGCCATATGATGTGGCAAATTCCAGTGACAAGAATAATTACATTACGTCTTGTCGTTTATCAAACCAAAGGAGAGATTTCCTAACCAAGATAATCATCCATCTTGAGAATATGCACTGTCAAAATGACAACATTTACTAGCCAAATTATTCACCCTCAAAAGATTAGAAAAAAAAATTTGAAAAGGTACACAAGTCAAACCACCGACACTACCACATAATATAGAGAATACACCTACTTGGGCAAGTCAGGATCATCCAGCTCATCTCCATCATTATTTCCACCACCTTTATCCCCTTGATGCTTAACAACTTGCAATTTTTCATTTTGTTTTTTCTTCCACTCTTCCATCCTATCCTTCCATGCAACTGTACCATATCCATAAACTGCAAGATCCTTCTTAGGATCCATTGGGCGAGGTGGCACTGCAAGATCAACCGCATAAGCAAATCAAGCTCAAAAAATAACTAAAATGGACAAAAGACTCAAAATTAGAATAAACTAAAGGACATACAAGACATGGAGTTATCAGTAAACGGAACTGGATGGACTCTCTTTCCACGACCCATAAAAGGAGGGATTATCAAAGCATGCTTGTCAGCTGATATGCCATCATCCTTCACCAAAATAACAGAATTCATTTAAGCTTGTCATAAAGAAAACAATTACTATAACAACCAATTGAGGAAATTATGAGAAAGTAGAGTGCATCTACCTCTTGACCATAGGTAAGGAGAGGGACCTCTGAATCAAGGGCTGAATCCATTTCTGATGGGGTAGTAATTCCAGATGCATTGACATTACCACCACGGCCAATATTAAGTCTAGCAGCAAGGGCTGCCTCTGCAATCTGTTGAGGGTCTCTTCTCTCATTGCTGTTATAGTCAAACTCGTGCTCCAAATCATCAAATTCATCCTCATCTTCATCACCCTCTACTCTTGGACTCCCTGAAAGTGAAGCAAATGATTATTAATTACCAAAGATACAATTTTTACCAAAAACATAGATGTATTCTGGAAATGAATAAAGTCAGAAATGGTGATTGGGACAAAGGATTACCTTTTATGCGCTTGTATCTAGTCTTGCACTGAGGGCAAGCTTGATTACCCTCCCTTCTCTCGTATTCATAGCAAGGTCTACAAACAGGGAATGCACATTCATTGCAGGCCACAAACGGCTCTCCATCCACAGTAAATTCAATCTCATCTCCACAAATCTGACAAATCTGCCCACTCAATTCCTTCACAGATGTTACCTGCTAGCAAGAAAACATTTAAAAAGATGCTGATTAGCACCAGATCAAGAAGCACAAAAATTTTGGCAAGCAGATATATCGCCGAAAAAATGCAACTTGGCTCAGAAATCTAAATAGAAGCTAAATTTGGTAATACATTTACTTGAATCTATTAATGCATTAGCACGGGGGAAGTAACAAACCAAAAGATTCTGAAAGCCACATAGTTCTTAAAAATCCATTAAACAAAAAGCCAAATTGGCGACAGAATTTCCCAAGAAACAGCGGAAATCTAGCTTAAAAGCATAAAAGCCAAGGAATGACGAAAACCCAACAACAAAACAAGAATAAAATGGAATTTTTGCTTCAAAATGTCAACTTTGTCCCAAAAGAAAAAGAAAAGGAAGGAAAGCAACGGGGAAACTCCAGAAACCAAAAATGTAGGTGAAACACCAAAGAAAACACCAAAATTTGAGACCAAAAAGAAACGTTTGTGTGAGGTAGAGAGGAAAACAGCAAGAGATAAAGAAGGAAAGAAAGACAGATTTGAGGGGCACTTACTCTTCCAATCTCATCAGCATTGATTAGTACAAACTCATTTCTGTTATGTGAACCAGCAATAAGCCTCCCTTTGGTATCCATCAAGAAAACACTACAGACACTCACACAAACAGTGAGAACGTTCTAAAGCACCACCTCCTCCTCCTTCACAGTCCACAAGAAAGAAAGAGAAGACTCTCACCTCTCTCTCCCTCTCTCACAGACTTCGACACACAGTGAGAGAGAGCAAAATATCAATCACTCAAGAACAGAAGACGAAGACGAAGACGAAGAACCATTTGCCTAGTTTTTTCTTATTTTCCCTCTCTTCCTTCCCTCTTCTCCTGTCTGCCTCTCTATGCTCCTCTTAAAACTTAAGAACCCCATCACAAGAAACACCAACCCCACATTAAAGAATCAGTGAAAATGATGTATTAACACACACCTCTCACTTACTAATGTGCTCCTACCATTAAAAAAATGCAAATGCTACTGCACCAATACAAGATAATGGGATTTACTCCATCCATTAAATAGAGTAAATCCCAGAAATTTTTTTACAGTAAATAAACAATTTTTACATGTAAATAAGAAAACCAATGACAACCCTTTTATGGGTTTGGAAGTTTTAAGATTCTTTTCTTTGAGAGAAATCCCAAGTTTGGGATAAATTTCGGTTCTCTCCCTCTTCTAACCCTTTTTCTATAGCTGTAGTCAGCAGTGGCTTTTAGTGAAAGAACTGTCGGGATCAGGAATCAAAATACAACTGGTACTCTCCGGGGGTTATAGGCTTATAGCGGTGAACCGAGCAGCGGGCAAAGCGGTGAACCGTGGAGTTGGAGGAGCGATTTGGACAAAGAAAAAAAAAAAAAAGAAAGATGACAACTACTTAGTTTTTTTTTTTTTTTTTGGGGATTTGGTTTGACAGAGAGAGAGAGAGAGAGAGAATCAAGGGGTTTGAAAGTTCAACGCGTAATACAGAAGGGACAGGGATCGGTGTGATGACGTTTTTTTCTGTATTTTTATCCTTTCACGTTTTGGGGTATTTTGGGGATTTTACAGGTTGTTTGATTAATGAAGGCGAAAAGCGAGCGTCCTTGGGCGGAAGCTGATCTTAGATGTTTTTCTCTTAGAGTGGGGGCCCCCTCGTGGCTGTTGGACACTGACGGTGGTGGAAGGTGGTGGGGGCGGAGGGGGGTCCCCACCGTGGAAGCGGTGTGATTCTTGGCCGGGATGGAAGGGGTAGTTTGGTAAATGTAAACGTGGTTGGTAAATTTTAGGGGATGAATGGTATTTTGGTAATTTGAGTTTAATAATTTGTTGCTTGATTGATGATGGTGATTGGTGAAGTCTTATTTTTGCACACCATCTGATTTAGGGTTGTCTCTCACGGTTTTTGTGTGGAATGTGTACTTTGTCAAATGAGAGAGAGAGAGTAGGAGGAGGAGATGGTAAATCCAATTTAAAAGAGAAATTACAAGATTTATATTTTTTTGGGACTTGACTTGCTATTACTAACAAATAAAGTCATTAATTAAGACGTAAATAGTTGTCACGTTCATGTTAAGACTATATAAATTTAACGTAAACTATGATAAAATAATATCAAATTAAAGTTCTTACGTGGCTTGAATTGATGAGTTGCCGAATATAATATTCGGTCATTATGAATTCTTTTTTTTTGTCGATCATGCGCAACAATATAAAAGTTTAAAATTTTCATTAAACGAAGTTGTTAGGATATTGTAAAAGTGAAAAATTGTTCGTTTTGATTTTCATAATCTACGTAATTGAGCGTGAGATCACATTTTGATCGAAGAATTACAAACAAATTCACTACGTAGTTCAAAAGGTTTAATTTTTTCGATCAATTTTTTGCAGGGCATCCACTACCTCTTTTGGACAATTTAGATAGATAAATAAATGATGCCAACATGACTTGTCTATTATCATGAACATAAAGAGCTAGATATATTGTGCTGAAATTCACAATACTAGATTATAATGAGGTGGTACCACCTCATTCTGTTACTTCTTTGCCCCTTGGTTGCCTTTTTAACAATTACTAGTATTTGGTTTAGAACCACTAGGTCAGCCCTGTGATTAAGAAAGAATTCTTAAGATTTTCCACGCTATCAATCAGATTCAGGATTTGAATCCTATACCTAATAGTCGGGAATGAGAAGAGCGTGGGAAAGGATGTAAGGGGTTCAAAAAAAAAAGTATTTTGAATTAGTAGTGTTTATCTACTTTTACTTTTTCTGTTTGTTTGTCAACAGTTAAAAATGAAGAGATCATTGAACATGCAATTGGCTCTGAAAGTAAATATTATTATTTGTGATGTGTGAGACTTTCTACAATTAAATTTTGTACAACACAAAATTGTATTGATCTTTCTTGATTGCACATATATGTATATTAGCTCACAAGACATTATTGCTTTCGTCGATTATCAAAAATTTTGTTGGTTTTGCAGCTATATGAAAGTGTCATTCTCCTTGTGGGATTAAAAATTTAATTTAGGTTTTATACATTACAGAAATTAATACCAAAGTTAGGAAAGATTTCTCTTTAATTTCAGCTTAAATAATGGAGTGCATGCTATTATCTGTCCTTGTTCATTAGATGCTACGAAAATGTACTTGGATTAGGAAGAACGTTTAAACAAAAATGGGGGTTAATGCTTTAATATAATGCACAACATGACTTTTCCTTCGTTAAATTTTAAAGATCTAGTGGATTTGCAATACCCAACAATGAAAATTTGGGAGTAAATTAGCTGCGATGGTACCTAATAACATCCAAAAATTAATAGTACCCACTGAAAGAAAATGACAATTAACTGTTACCTAATGGAATGCTTAATTAATGCTTGGCATCTACTTTTGAAGTATCAAAAACCTTGTTTAGATTGCCATTTCTTTCACACACACAAAAAAAAAAAAAAAAAAAAAAATTTACGTTTCCCGTAAACACATTTTTCCATCACTCTTTTAACTCATAGACATGAAATCATTATACTACATTTTTCTAAAAAAACTCCAAAACTGGTGTGGTATAAAGAAAGAATGTATAGGTATGTCTCGACAGAATATTTTTAGTGGTGTTTTTAAAAATTTTTACTGTAGTTGTATTCTTTCTTTCTTTTTCTTTAGAAGACACACACACACATAAAATAAAATAAAATAAAAAAGGAAACCAACTAGAATACGCTATGTTATGTACCATCTTGGATGCATAGTCAGGTCGGCCGCTGGAAATTCATAATAAGTCGGTATAGAGCACCCCACATGATTAAAAAAACCAAAGAGATTCTTCCAATATTCTTTTGGCTACTCCGCCCAATTTGTTTACATCATACAACTTCCCTTTCCCAAAGTCAGACTTCTTTGACACCTCCAATGACATATAAAACATCATCATCCACGGCAAAAGTTATAAGTAGTTATATATCTCAACTATTATCCCAAAAAAAAAAAATCAGAAGAAATTGGAAGTGCTATTTCTTTTTTAAATGTATTGTATTAAAATAAAAAATATATATGCAATTCCGTATTGAAATTTAAAGCTGCAGCATTAAATATTCTTCTGTAAGTTTGCTAACAATCGCTGGCCTTTTCTGCCAAAAAATAAATCATGTTAAATGGTGTCGGTCGACTCGGTCCAATACTCCAATGGTTGCCGTTAAGATAAGGTACATCATACCATGTGTAGTCAATTTACCTTTCCTCTTCTTTTTTTTTTTTTTTTTTTTTTTCAAAGAAGTGTAAGTTCACACTTTTAGTCCTTATTAAGACATTACCCTTGGATTTAAAAATGCGTGCCTAAAAACTTTCCATTCTCAATAAATCTCTACGCAAGTGGAAGGATATTAGAAAAAGAAAAAAGAAAGTGGTTTTTTTTTTTCCTTTTTGAGGAGGGATAGGGGGAATTATCGAAGTTATGTATATGAGAAAGGGATATTGAGGTGCATTTGATAAAAATAAAATTTGAAATCTGAATTCATTAAATTATTGAATTAATAAAAACTAAATTTGATACATTTGAGTATATATCGCATTAAGTGATAAGTGAATAATTTATCACTCAATTTTGGGAGCATTTAATTTAAGTGAACAGTAGATATATTGCCTAAAAAATTCAGTGTCATTTAATTAATTCAAATATTGAATTTTTTTACTACTAAATGCTTCTGAACATATTAAGATCTGAATCCATTAAATTTAAGTGCTGAATTAAGTTATCAAATAAGGTCTAATTCCAGCCTCTTCTGATTTAAATCTAATTTTGAAGGACTTAAGAGCTCTCTTCTGCCTATTGAATCTACCACAATGATGATTATACAAGTTATCATCAATATATTAAAGGTATTAGGATGGGGCATAAAATTAGCTGCCCTTGCATGCGATTCTTAAGGGAAATAACATGCAAATATTTTAGGTATAGAGATACTTGAGAAGGAAAAAACAAAAAAGAAAAAAAAGGCATGTGTACAAGAATGCATCCACATGCTGCATGGGGTTGCTTGAAGATTGTGACAGCTCTTGTAAGCAGCGAGAGCGGACCCTCTGGATGTTCCTTCTTCATCATCTTCTTCTCTGGTTCTTCTTCATACAGGCAGTCAGTCCATTTATGTCCCAGTATTTATGTGGATCAGCCGCACCCCCAAGACGGTGACACAGCCTGAAGAACACTCGATAACAGAATTGTGTTTTGATGTTTGTTTGTAGCCCTAGAATGAGGTGCTACAATACACATTGCCTGCGACAACCTCAAAATTTTTGATTGCTTTATTGTTGTTGATCTTCCGTCAAATTACACTTCACATTAAGTCAAAAGTTGTTAGAAGGTCGAGTTCTCTTTTTTCTATGATGAGATTTCAGTGTGTAGCTGTAATACTAGCTAGAACGTGATTATTACAGTTCACAGATACATACTTAAGCGTAGTTCTTATAATCTCCGTTTAGATTGAAGATTAATTTGAAATATCTTGTTCATTAGTTGCTACAGCACTTTCCCTAATGCAGTATAAGTAAAATAAAAATCTGATTAAACTACGTGTTCAAAATATAATCATGTGTATTTTTTGTTCCAAAAAAAAAAAAAAAAACTTTTCGAGGTCGCGTATTTGATACCGTTCTAACAAGTCTCACTGACTAGATGTATTATGGTATTGTTCTCGGTTGCTTTAGATTTTTCAAAATTTGATTATAAAAGTTGATTATAGAGAATAATCAGAATCAACAAAGACTGCGCTTGAGGTGATTATAGATTTTAATTTTTTGTTATTAAAAAAAAATCTATAATCAGAATACGAAAACAATTAAGAATATCACAAAAACTGATCGATTATCCAATAACAAAATTTATAATCAGTTAAAAATAATCAACCGAGAACAAGTCATATAT